TATATATATTTGTTTATTTATGCATGTATTTATGTATTTGCATATTTATTCATATAGCTACACATAGACCCCCTCCCCCCCACACACATACACACACACACACAGATACATAAACGTATATGCTAATCACCAAAAGTGCCACAGTGCCAAACCGAGCAGCACGGCAGGTTGCAAACGGAATCAGCAGTTGTAGGGAAAAATCAGACGTGCAAGAGACATAAAAATACCTCTTGGCTGCGCTCAAACGAGTGTTTTAGTGAACAAGTTTAAAAGAGGATTTAGACTTGCTCTTGAGGGTTTTCTTTCTCCTCAACGAATGCCGTCAGGCCAAACAAGCGCAGAACTTAGAACAGGCTCGACCGCACGTGACGCGAAGACTTTGGGGGTCTACTTTGATGCGAAGGAACGTCACCGGGTAATGTGTGTGTATTTTTATTTGTGTGTGTGTGTTTATAAACATATATATATATATATATATATATATATATATATATATATATATATATATATAATATATATATATATATATATATATATATATATATATATATATATTATATATATATATATATATATATACTTAAACTAAGCATCTTATCGCATTGGCTGAATATAAAAACGTTGAACCCTAGTAGGAGAGCCCACTCTTTGACTCATTTCAAGTTCAATATGTTGCCATTCTGTCAAGTCCTAGCTATGCAGTCAACGTTTTCTATTGTCAACGTTGATTGCAGAGGTGTCGAGGCACATGTGGCACTCAAAAGGGAAAGTTTTGACTTCGATGACTGAACACGACAGGAAAAAAAAACAGCCATTACCCTGATATTCCTTATTTGCTCAAGTGAACCCTTATCAAAAATAGATTAAGTAATGTATATCGATAATATGATAGATACAAAATTCATATCTGGATATTCTATTGGTGAACAAATGTCACAAAACTTTTCCTACAGAAGTCAGCACTAATCCGAAGGCAAAAGACATACATAACTTTTCCGAGTGACTTATTAGGTACTGATTTACTGTATTATGTAAGAAAGCAATAAATAAATAAATCGTGTGTCACTCTTTTCACGCCAACGCTGACTTTAGGCACTGCTCACGTGGCCCTCTTTGCAGGACTAAAGAAAGTGGCCTCTGGAAACTGACGTCATATATTTCAATACACACATACATATATGCGTATATAGATCGATTGATAGATAAATAGATAGGCAGATAGATAGATACGTAGGTAGATAGATAGATAGGTGGGGAGACAGATATATATGTATATATACATATATGTATGTAGATAGACATATATGTAGGTATAGACTGGTAGATAGGTAGATAGAGAAATATACATATATGTATGCGCATATATATATATAATATATATATATATATATATATATATATATATATATATATATATATATATATATATATATATATATATATATTATGTATGTATATATATACTGTGTGTGTGTGTGTGTGTGTGTGTGTGTGTGTGTGTGTGTGTGTGTGTGTGTGTATGTGTATGTATATGTACACACACACACACACACACACATATATATATGTACATACATATGTGTGTGTGTGTGTGTGTGTGTGTGTGTGTGTGTGTGTGTGTGTGTGTGTGTGTGTGTGTGTGTGTGTGTGTGTATAAATAGACAGATACATAGATGTGCGTTTGTGTGATTTATCTATCCATTTATTCATGCATATATTGATTCATTCATTTAGCCATTCATTTCATCATTTTTTATTTATTCGTGTATTTGCTTATCTATTCAATTTGTTTGTTTGTTTATCTCTTGGGTGTCCATTTGTCTGTTCATTCATGCACATATCTAGACATTTGTTTTATCTTTCTATTAACGATGAAGCTACATGCGTGTCTGTAATTATCTCTGTAAAAGAGTCTCCTAAATTTATATTTTCCCCAATTAATTAAAGGCTGCAACTTATCTGATATATTTTTTGTTTTGATTATTTAATATATTTTCTTAGTTTTCATTTATCTAGGAATCAAATAAATCAGCATCAAATGCCACTCAAGATAATGAACAAACGCTAATTGAATATCCATTTGATAGCGTCTTAATTGCCTTATTACAATAGGCATAATTACCCCAAAAATCTCATAGCATTCAGCCTTCAAGAAGCGATGAAAAAATAAGTACCCTGAGTTTAAATACCCAAGTGTTTTATCAGTTTGACATGTAGCTAGGTTGTGTTCCATGTTTGTGTTGAGGTTGTTCTTATCGTTATTGAATGTATGATTAAAGGTACTATTCGGAGAACAGAAGGAAATCTTAGGGTTTCTATTTTGTATATATTTTTCCCATGACCATCTTTCTCACTCAATGTACAATGAGTGAATAGGAACACGATTTTTTTGAGCAGAATGAACTATTCGTAATATGATCAGTCATGCTATATATATTAGGCATTACTATATCCTATATATTGATCTTGCAGTGTTTGGGAAACGTGAAAGACATATATT